ATGCTGATCTTGGGCATTTTTATCTTGGGCATCTTCGGGTGCCAGTCTGGGCCATGCATGTCCACATCTGGGGCATCAATATCCACTTTGGGGCCTTTGAGGTCAACGTCAGGGGCGTTTAGGTCACCTTCCACCTTAGGCAGAGAAACATCCAGATCTCCTTTCACCTTAGGACCTTTCAGGTGCAAATCAAAGTCAGGCATGGAGATCTTGGGGGCTTTGATGTTCATCTCTGGCATCTTGAACTTAGGACCTTTCAACTTTCCCTCAGGTCCTTCAATGTTAACATCAGGGCCTTCAATGTCCACCTTGGGTCCTGACATGTCAATGTTGGTCTTGGGTAGGTTCACATCCACTTCTGGCCCCTCTCCTTTGAAGCCGGGCATGCTGATCTTGGGCATTTTTATCTTGGGCATCTTCAGGTGCCAGTCTGGGCCTTGAACATCCACACCTGGAGCATCAATGTCCACTTTGGGACCTTTGATGTCGATCTCAGGGCCTTTCAGATCTTCTTCAGTCTTGGGAAGGGTAACATCTATATCATCCTTCACCTTGGGCCCCTTCAGGTTTAAATCAATGTTAGGCATGGAGATCTTGGGTGCCTTCAGGTGCATCTCTGGCATCTTGAATTTGGGCCCCTTCAATTTCCCCTCTGGGCCTTCAATGTTAATATCAGGAGTTTCAATGTCCACTTTGGGGCCCTTGATGTCCACCTCAGGGGCCTTGAGGTCACCTTCCACTTTTGGCAAAGACACATCCACATCACCCTTTAGTTTGGGGCCCTTCAGGTTAAAGTCAAGGTCAGGCATGGACATTTTGGGAGCTTTGATATTCATCTCTGGCATCTTGAATTTGGGGCCCTTCAGTTTCACATCTGGACCTTCAATATTCACATCTGGGGCATCAATGCCCACTTTGGGGCCAGAAATACCAATGTCAGCTTTGGGCAGGTTCACATCCACTTCGGGGCCCTCTCCTTTGAAGCCAGGCATGCTGAACTTGGGCATTTTCACCTTGGGCATCTTCAGGTGCCAGTCAGGGCCTTGAACATCCACATCTGGGACATCAACGTCCACTTTGGGCCCTCTGATGTCCACACCTGGCACGTTCATTTCACCTTCTATCTTGGGCACAGACACACCCACATCCCCTTTGACTTTGGGGCCTTTCAAGTGTAAGTCCACATCAGGCATGGAGACCTTGGGAGCTTTGATATTCGTATCAGGCATCTTGAATTTGGGACCTTTTAAGCCTCCCTCTAGACCTTCCACATTGATTTCTGGGCCCTCAATGTCCATTCTGGGACCCTCTATGTTGATATCTCCTTTTGGCAGATCCACAGCCATATCTGGCCCTTCTGCTTTTAAGCCGGGCACACTGAACTTGGGCATTTTCATCTTGGGCATTTTCAAATTCCAGTCTGGACCATGAACATCCACATCAGGTGCATCAAGATGAACTTCTGGTGCCTTAATGTCCACTTTGGGTCCTTTAAAATCACCTTCTAAATTAGGACCTGCAACATCTAAGTCTCCTTTGACTTTAGGACCTTTCAGGTTTAACTCCACATCAGGCATAGACACTTTAGGAGACGAAATACTCAAGAAAGGCATTTTGAACTTGGATCCTTTCACTTTTCCTTGGACCTCAATATCGGGAGCATTAATGTCAACTTTTGGACCTGTTACATCAATATCTGGCTTTTTGACTTTGACATCTACCTCAGGTGTCTGAACTTTGGAGCCTGAAAAATTAAATTTGGGAAGCTTAAAACGAGATTTCTTTGACTTGCCTTCAATATTGAGCTTAGGACCAGAAATGTCCACTTCTGGGCCCTTTACATCTAACTTGGGAGCTTTAATGTCACCTTCCAATTTGGGTCCAGAAACATCAACATCTCCCTTAAGTTTTGAGCCTTTCAAATTCAGGTCAATTTCTGGCATGGAGATCTTGGGCATGTTTACATGCATATCAGGCATCTTCAGCTTTGGAGCTTTTAATTTGCCTTCTGGGCCGTGAATGTCAATATCTGGTGCATCTACATCTATCTTCGGGCCTTTGATGTCAAGAGAAGGTCCTTTCAAATCACCTTCTACATTTGGAAGTGAAATATCTACCTCTCCTTTCATTTTAGGGTCTTTAAGATTAAGGTCCAAATCTGGCATCGATATCTTAGGAGTTTTGATATTCATCTCTGGCATCTTGAACTTGGGACCCTTCAGTTTCACATCTGGACCTTCAATATTCACATCTGGGGCATCAATGTCCACCTTGGGTCCTGAGACATCTATGTCAGCCTTGGGCAGGTTCACATCCACTTCTGGGCCCTCTCCTCTGAAGCCAGGCATGCTGATCTTGGGCATTTTTATCTTGGGCATCTTCAGGTGCCAGTCTGGGCCATGAACGTCCACATCTGGAGCATCAATGTCCACTTTGGGGCCTTTCATGTCAACTTCAGGAACTTTAAGCTCACCTTCCACTTTTGTTAAAGACACATCCACATCACCCTTCACTTTGGGGCCCTTCAGATTAAAATCAATGTCAGGCATGGAGATCTTGGGGGCTTTGATGTTCATCTCTGGCATCTTGAACTTAGGACCTTTCAACTTTCCCTCTGGTCCTTCAATATTAACATCAGGGCCTTCAATGTCCACCTTGGGTCCTGACACATCAATGTCAGCTTTGGGCAGATTCACATCCACTTCTGGGCCTTCTCCTTTGAAGCCAGGCATGGTGAACTTGGGCATTTTCATCTTAGGCATCTT